TTGAATACAGTATCTGGTTATGGATAAAATAACCAATGAGAAAATAAAATATTGACTTTAAAGTCAAGTAATTTTCTTTTCTTTTCATCAAAACCCATATCTCATAAAGTTTGCGACTTTAAATTATTATGAGACATTTACTAACGCATCCGCCGTTAAGACTAGCGAGTCCTTTAAAAAATTTTCTTAATGGGAACAAGTTATTTAGGATTTTTTTTTCGTTTTATTCCTAAGAAAACAAAACATTTTTACAGTATTTTTGTTAAATTTTTAAAGAATAGTTTCATTTTTATCGTTCATGTGCAGGGCAGCTTTAGAAGTGAAGAGTTTTGCGTTTATATGCTCAGCTGATTTAATCATTTAAAAAATATCTCATTTTTTATTCTCAGACTTCGATTTCTTTAAATGGTTTCTATGAGGTTGCTCAGAAAGTAATTTTTTTTAATAGAGTACTTAATTTTTTCACAGCCAAATTAATAATTAAACCGACTTAAATAATTTTCTGATTTAAGAATTTCTTAAATTAAATATTCGCTGCCAAAAATAGCATAAAAAGTTGAAGGTTAAATGAACAAATTCGAAAAATATGTTTTAACATGACCAACTGGCACATGTAAACATGAATAAATATTTCTCAATTATTCCCTTACATTCAATGTAAACCAATTTATTATTTAAAACTATTTTAAGCACAGATGTAAATTAAGTTCCCCTGCAAAGTTCGTCTCCTTTAAGTAGTGAACTAGTTACTAAATCCAAAATAGTTTGAAGTGTCACTACATTTTAAAAAAAAGTATTTGTGGTTAACTTCATTTGTAATAAAGTAGTCGTAGTAGACAACAATTATGTAGTTTTTCTGACCATTGTGCAAGTTTTAGAAATGCGGGGCCCTAAAAAAATTAATTTCTTGATTGAATTTTTTTTATCTTTCTACCTAAGCTATTTGATCTATTTTTTACTACTAATTTCCAATTATTGCTTTGATTATTGCTTTTTACCGAGTATTGCAATATTAAATAAAAAATCAGTTTATTTTTGTTATGAGGAGTAAACAGTCAGGTTAAATACGTTGCGTCTATTGTGTGTTAATTATTGATTATTATGTGTATAGATTATTAACAGGGTGCGTAGCCAAATTATTCAACAAAAATAAGCCCCTTCTAAGCAATTTTCAAGCACTCAAAAAATATTTTTAAGCACTTTAAAAAAATATCATAATTGGGGAGGATAGGAAAGTTTTTAACAATTGATGGTTTTATCTTGTTTTAACGTCATGTCAAATAAAAAAAAACTTTTGGCATTGTTTTTGACAATTGTCAAAAATCATGAAATTTTGAATCATGTAAAACGAATGGTGTTTTCATACGCTAGGGACTGATAGTACGCAAAAATAGATTGGGGTTGAATTAATTGTGAAAACGTTGAATAGAACAATGTGAATTGCGTCTTTTTGTATAATTCGAAGCAAAAATCAACATAGTAAAAGATAANAAAAATCTCATTTTGAAAAAAGGGAAAATTAAGCACTTTTTAAAAACACCCAATGAAAAAAGGAGCTTTAAGGGCTTTTAAAGAACGAAAATCGAGAATAAGCACCCTTAAGCACCTTTTAAAAACGCTACGCACCCTGTATTAATTATAGATCATTATCTTAATACACATTTATGTGTTTACTGCATAAATAATTATTATAAGTTTCTAAATGAAAACAATGCAATGAAAAGTTTACAACTTTATTTATCAATATTAACATGGCGCTGCATGTTATTATTTTTTACATATGTACAAGTATGAACTTCAGAAAAAAAAATTTCTTTCAAAATAACATAAAATATGGTAGTAAAACAGATAAAAAATTTAATTATCTTTCTAAAAATTAAATATTTTGCAATGCACAATGGAAACATAAAATACACAAATATCCTTAAAACATATTTAAAGTTATTTTTAATTACATTTTTAAAAAAGTTGCACAATTAATTGAAATTTTCTTAAATATTTACAACACTAATTTTGAAATCAATTCAAAATTACAACAGAAATTTTCAAAGAAAATTAGCATTTGAGCATTTATTAAAACACTATTGATGCAACATGATTAAAAACATAAATCAAACAAGAAAATACCCGTTTATAAAAAAATATTAACAAAAAATTATGGAATGACGTCATGGAATGAACGAAAAGCAATTAGTTGTATTAAATAGTTTTCACAGTTTAAGTTGAAACTGGTAATTAATATAAATCTGTGATTATGAGCTTCAAAAATAAAATAAACAGCTAAAACTGGCAATCAAACAAACGGAATTGTTTTAACTCAGTTAATTTAGTTTATTTTCTCATTTCTCCACAGTTATTGGTGAACATTTTTAACTCATTCACTAGGTTAATTGTGAATATAATCGCTGCACCTTCATTTTAAATAGCATATGAAAGGAAACCAAAATATATCTTAAAAAATTAATTTAACTAAATCACATTTTTTTAAAATGATTTAGTTAAATTATCATATTTAGATAACAGTTAATTTTATAGAATTCTCATATCTTCCAAAATAAATTTGCATCAATGATCTTACTATTTTTATTTCCATACAGCAGTATTAATATTTTTAATAAATTTAAACAAAAAAGATTTAAGAAAAAAAACAGCTATTTATGATGCATAATTCCATAGCTATTTATGAAGAAACAAAAATTTGTTTTCTCCTAAGGCATAAAGATCAATAATCAGGTATCATAAAAATCTATATGGAAAAAAAACTTTGAATTTAATTTCCAAACAAATCTTTTATAAAAATAGCAGTTTCTATGCGAATTTTATAAATGAATAGACTCAGTACGTTTGCCTTAATGCGTAAAAGAATAGCTTGTCCCTAAATCATAAAAAGTTTTCCATATTTAAGGGGTCATTCACAAATATTCCCGAAAAATAAGAATATTTAAAGAAATTTTAGACTCAGACAAAAGTTTTTCAAGATTTTCCCTAGTACCGCAAAACCAAAACTATAATTCAACGTAGTGGACATCCCTGAATATTTTGCAACTTTGATTAAATTTGATTCAAAAAGCACCATACCATGACTAGTTCGCAGTCCCAAAGTGAAACAAAATTAATCAATGATTAACTCAATTATTCCATGACTTCATCACTAACAAAGGTGTTATTTATTTTTATAATCCAGTAAAAATAACAAATGAAACATGCATGCTAAGGATTAATAAAAAAATGTTTGTTTTCCTATTTCTATCCACCTAAAATGCAGATTTTTTTAACAGAAACTATATAAAAATAACTAATTTTGATACCTAACAAAACTAAAACTTTTAGCTTTGGTTCAAAAAGCTAAAAGCTATTTGAATTTGTCTTGATTATCAATAGGAACTCAGGTATATTCTCTAAGACCCATTCACACGGCGGGTATCGACCCGGGTTAAAGCAGACTTTAACATGGAAAAATTGACGACATGATTGATCTAGATTAAAACCAAATACAAAATAAAAAATTAATTATTTCGTTATTTTTAGAATCCGTTCAAAAATGAAGCAGAAAAATACACGCATAACAGGTAGCAAATAAAATATTTCATCGGAGAAAAGAAAAAGGCTATCAATAGATATAAAAATAGCTACTCGGCAAGCGGCGAAATTATTAAAAAAAAGTGGTGACTTAAGTAAACAACCGGTCACTTTTTTCCTTCGTTTTTTTTCTGAAAATCGCTTATCGACAAAAGTACATCAATGCAGAAAGACTCTGAAAAATAGAATTTTCTTTAAAGTTCCAATTTCACCATTAAAAATTTTTATCCTTCAGAATCCATCAATTTGTGACGGAAAGATTCATGCAGAAGGAAAGTTCTAGAACAAGTCACATAGTTTAATGTATACAATAAATGTATTTTGCCTTCGCAAATATTTTTAAATTAGTTCTTTGAAATCAATACGTTTAACTAAATATTTTGCTCATAATCATATTATTTCAATTGATGAATTGACTTCTTATAGCCGTAGATTATCTCTAATATAAAGTTTTTGTGAATTATAATTTAATCTAAGTAAATTAAAGGTTAGCAAAAAGTGGTTTTTCAATGATAAGGACCAATCGATATTAGTCTTGGAATGATTAGATTAGAGGAAAAATTGGCTATTGAGTGATTAGAGTCTACCGGCCACGAGCTACCAACTGAAAATTTGAATTTCTAGGTCTACAATCAAGCTCTGAATAGTCTATGTTGAACAAAGTGTGATTAGAAAAAAAAAACATCACAAAACCTGTACGACTGTACGAGGTTAGTGATTATTGGGAGACACCTTCAAGTTTCACTCCACAATTAAAGAGATTTTGATGTCTTTAAAAACCTGTTATTTAATAGTCAAAACCAACTACTACCCTTCCATTCAATAGTCAAAACCTGTTACACAATAGTCAAAACCTGTTATTCAATAGTCAAAACCTGTTATTCAAGAGTCAAAATCTGCAATTCGATGTCATTTTTCTTTTTTTCTGGATCAAATATTACGACATTAGATACTTTTCCAACTTCATTTTTGACAAAGCTTCAAAAAACAAACTACAAGAGTGGCTTTTATGAAACAACCTATACATTTTGATTTCGTAAAATATTGTGAAGATAAACATCATAATTGTTTACCGGCATTTTTTTAATAAATTAAAAGACCTTAAAAATTCGGCTTTGTAAATACATTGATTCTAGCTTGATTTTTGTGGACTGTTAACGGGTCATCCAAGATCCACTGTGGTTTTAACTTTTAACTCAATAAATTTTTAAGACAGCTTTAACCACGATTGCATATGAATGGGTCCTAACTGTATTTACAAGGAGATCATAATTAACTAATAACTGAAACAATAATTAAATATAACAAATCAACTCAGTTCCGAAGTGATGACACAACTTTACAAAACCAGATTCACATCTGTTATCATAAATACAAAAATAAATTTCAAAAAAAAAAAAAAAAAAAAAAAAAAAAAAAAAAAANAAAAAAATTTAAAAAAAAAAAAAAAAAAAAAATCATCCAAATCTACAGATTATTATCACTGGATTTTTTCTTATTAAATAATGTCTTTAAAATCCTGATTTCAGGATTTTACAGGATCACACCGGGAAAAAATTATAAATTTTAAATAATGATAATAATTTTAAAATATAATACAAGGTTAAAAAGATAGATTTTCGTAACATTTTACTTAAGAAAAAATTGAAGAAATGCCAAAACAATTACTAAGTTAAAATTTGAACGTACATTAGGTCAATAAAGATGAGTTTCATTATCACATTTTTTTTTCTCTTAGATAAATATGTATTTCTGATTTTAAGCTTTTTACTTTACAAATAATAGTATTCTCAGCTGGAAAGATTAATAATCGCTATTTCGCCACTATCATTTAAATTTGAATTATCGTTTAATATATAAATTCAATATGGTCTTCTCTATTATGTTTCTTATATATTTTATATTTCCTTACATTATATTTATTTTATTCATATTTTATTATTTATTAAGCAGTTTCTTAGTTCAAATGCGTTGTTTTATAGCATTAAAATGCCTATATTTTCATTTTCCATATTTTCATATTGCGTATAAATTACTGGGGATGCAAAGCCTTTTCTTGAAAGACAGCCATAAATACAGCCATTCTGGAAATGTAATTTATTTAAATTTTATATTGACTGACAGTAACATGATAATATAAACAATTGTGTACAGTGATAAACATTAGTAATTCAAGAACAATATCAATTTTTTTAGAAAAAAATTTAAAAGGCAAAGTACAGCAAATTACATTACATTGGCCATGTATAAACATAATATTTTGAATTTGAAAATATTTGACGTTTAACTCATTTAGTTTTCTTTAAAGAATGATAAGTATTAGAAGGTTTTTTAATTTTTCTGCGGAAAAATAAATTCTATATATTTTTCTACTGTTCATAAATTCCTTACATTTGTAACTTTAACAAATTTTTGAAGACCTTTTTTTTTTTTAAAAAAAAAATTTAATTTGGTTCAAGAAAATTTTATTTAAAAAAAACTCGAGAGTTTGTAAGATTCTAATAATGGTATAATTTCCAACATTTTACAAGTTAATTGAAGTTAATTTGAAAAACAGTTATGCTATTTCTTACGATACTTAAATTGTTTGCTTTTTTTAGTTTTTGGCTGTAAAACGGGGGGAGGCTTAAATTGCAACAGGTTACGCACCCCTGCTTCCTGATAAGTTTTAGGCAAAATAAAACAACTAATTTCATGTTTTACTTTAAACTTTAATTAAAAATAAATATTAACGAAAGGTTAAATAAATATGAACGTAAAAGTATACGTAAAACCATAAACGTAAGCTTTATAATTTCTGATAAGCATTACAAGATAGACAACATTTCTCTAAATGAAAACTTCTTGTAAGTATGGGTTTAGAAATTTCATGTTTTTTTTTTTTTCAGTTCTCCTCGGGTAATTTCAACAAAAATGAGAGAATAAGTTTATTTTGGTAACTTAAAAACAAGTAAGTCAAATTTTAATGTAAAAGCTAACACAAAACAACATTTTGTGAACAAATTCAATAACACATTTCTATGAAAGATTTTAAAATTTCATAAATAACAAACTGTAATCAAATAATGTAAAAAACAACATGTGGTGTAAAGCTCAACTTCCCACATTGGTGTCTATGTAATAAACAAATGCTTCAAATAGTTTCTAGATTGCACTTTAGTATTGAGCTCATGAAGCTACAATTTTAATTTTAAGTGTAACAAAACACCACAGGTGTAGAAATGTCATTTAGATGTCACTACCTTCTTGAATATTTGCTGCTTTTTGAATAAAAAAAAGTTTTCTTTGTTGGAAATTAAAAACAAAACCAGAATTTTTTTGTTTTTGTTTTGATTTTCCTATTGCCAATAAGATGATGATTTTTTTTTCTTATAAAATGATTAAAAAATACAAAAATGGAATGGTAGGATGATTTCAATGGGTCGTGTACTTTTACTGGAGACGCTCTGGCAGTGTTGTCGGCCAGTTAGAAGAGGAACTTTTATTTCTGACCTAACAGAAAAAGGAAAAAAAATAATAATCAGTTACAATTCTCATGAAACACATAAAATATAGAAAAACGACACTGTAAAAAATTTTGGTGCATAGTTGCCACCTATTTTGGTGTTGAGGTAAATTACTTTTTTATGTACAGAAATGTATTTGTCGAGCAAAAAAAATATTATATTAAATTAACAAAATAAAAGCATTAGTGTGAATTCATTACAAAAGATATGTTTGTTTTTTTAAACGTTTTTGCAATGAAGCCATAAATTAATTCTAATGAACATAAAACAACATGCCTCAGTAAATATACTAAAAAATGATGAAATTATAACAGTAAAAAAGTAAACAAAAAATGCGACTATCTGCACTGCAAAATGGTTTAGTTTACCTCATCACAAAAAATAGTGGCAACAACACACCAATTTTTTTACCTAGTATTTAAATCAATTTAGCATTTAAAAGAAGAAAAAAAAACCTTATAGGTTTTATAAGTTGCCAATAGTATCAGCAATATCGAAAATTTACTAACACGATATATTGTAGGGAACTATAGCATTTGCTCGATCCAGGAGCAGAATATGTCTGAATAGTTACAAAACACTGCTTGTAATTGAGGAAACTAAAATATAAAAATGATTACTCTCTTTTGGAAAATTATGGACATTTTTTATAGACGAATAACTTCATCTTTCAAAATAATTTAGAATGGAAAATTTAAAAATGAAATAAAGTTACATTTAGTAAATTATTTTATTTTTCAATCAATTTACCTAAGCATGGACGAACAGTTAGCTATACAATCATATTTTCCTGGCCAGATATAATAATTGCATGAGGTTATAGACTTCATAAAAATTATTTAGACATATTTGTAAATTATGTCAAAAAATATGACTCAAATGAACATTATGACAATTATTTTTAATTATAACTTATCTAAAAATTAATTTATCACATTTGAGCTTATGATTGAAATATTAGTTTGATTGAATTATTAATTTGATTGAATTATTAAATATAATAAATGAATTATATTTATATTGAATGAGTTGTTAGCAGTTTCTTACACTGTAAAAAAATATCTGGATCAAATTACGGTAAAGAAAAACCGGCACTCAGGGCACCGGTACTTTTCACCGAGAAATTCATTTATAGTTAAATATGTGACGTAACAAAAAATCTGCGTAATTTTTACAGTAATAATTATAGCAAAATCACAGAATCACTCTAATTAAATAAATACGGTAAAAACTATAGTATAATAATTTATAGTAAAAATGGTGTTTACGGTAGAGTGGTTTTGATGAAAGTAAACCCAAAGTAAACTACATTTTATTATTATTACTTTAATTAACTGTAACTGTTACTTTACTTACATTTATTTTTTATATTGTGATTTGAAGGAGGCGTTTCATTAGTTGGTTTAAATTTTGTACTTTTTAGCTGTGATTCCTTTTCAATTTTATAGTGCTTTTCAATTGTGGTAAAGGTTATCTATTTTTGTCTTTTCATTATGGGGCCTCGCGGCACTGTTAGTTTTGGTTAAATCCACTAACAACAGAGAGGCTCCTGTGTGTTTGCAGGCAGTGTGTCCCCTGATGAAGTGCTTACTGTTTTGCAAATACACATTTATATTTTCATTTTTATTTTAATTGTAAAGATTTTATATATGTCTTATTCTATTTTATATTTAACTTATTAATAATTATTTAACAGAAATGCAAGTAGGATTTCTGCTCAAAACATTTCAAGATTTATTAATCTATATTTATTAAAAATTTTAGATACTCTTAGCAAATTATTTAGCTAATGATTACAAACTGTTGTAAATAATTGTTTAATTAGTTAAAATTACAAATGAAATTTAAGTTCATAAAAATTTTAAGAAATAAATCATAAAAATTATTACAAGAAAATATCCATTCTAAGTATATAAAACATTGAAAAATAAAAATAAAATAAAGTATATGAATATAATTATAAAAATGCAATGAATATCATTGCCTAACTTCTTCACCCCTTTTCAATATCAAATGATATCAATTGTCTAATAAACGAATCATTACATTATTAAAAAAAGAAAAAGATTTTAAAATGAAAGAAAGCCATGCAAAATCTAAAAATATAGGGGGGGGGCACATTTACACCGTAAAAAATTCCGATAAAATAACGGAATAAAGTACCAGCACTACCATCCATAAAACCATTTTACCGTAAAATACAAACTGTAATTTTGACAATATTTTTTTTCGTTATTCATTGATTTTACGGTAATTTTTACAGTAAAAATGACGGTGTAACAGATTTTTTGTTCCGTAACATGTTCCGGTAAAAATGGATTTTAAGGTAAGAAGTATTGACATTATGACAACCAGCAATTTTTACCGTAATTTGATCACGAATTATTGACAGTGTAGGGAACTGTTAAAACCGATACATGACAATAATTTGCACATATATTGAATTAAATTTTTTTCTTGCCTTTACAAATTTCGTTTTAAAACTTATGAATCTAAATATAACTTATTGACAATTTAATAAATTATTACTAACTTATAATAATGTAATAATAATGGCACCCTAAGTGCCGGTACCTTTTAACGGAATTTTTTAACAGTGTAGGTGTGAATAAATGTATATACTAATAAGCTTTGCACCATAGTGCATCGTAAGTTTTTTGTCAGATTAGGTTTTCATATATGAAAAATATTGTTTTCTGTTGCTGAAAAGAAATTCTCATTTAATAATCCTTAAATGAAAGTTCCATTAAAATAAAATTAATTTCATTGCTATGTTTTGTGAAACAAATATAATCCAAAAATTCAAAAGTGATAACTTAAAGTCGTCTGAAAAAATTCTTTGAGGTGGAACACCAGCCTAACAAAGCATGTCCATTGTATTTAGAGGAGAGACAAAGAGGCGTTACATCTGCCAAACAAGCAAGAACACTTTTTAAATTCTAAAAGCGAGAAAGAGAAATGCGCAGAAAACTTCTCTTTCATTTAAAAAGCAACCACAGCGATTTACGATGAGTCCCTACTGCTGTCTGACTCACTCCTTATAGCCTTCATGAATATGCATGAGGAATCGGCGTTGACCCCAATTTGCGTATTTTATTCTTTTTTTATTTTATTTCTCTCTGCTCTTTTAATTCCTCTGTTACTTTATTTGTTTACTTTTTGGAAGGGGAGGATTGTTTATTATTTTTTTCACCCAAGGAATTCTCGCCATTTTTTTTTAATGTTTTATTATTTCGTGATTTTAAATTAATATTTACTTTTAAATGTTAAAATAATTTATATGTTGTCACAAAGTGTAGAAAAAGTGATTCTAACTATTGATCGAACGTTTTCAAGACAAATTTGTGTATGTAATCAAATTTTAGCAATTCTGCCTCACAGATTGACTGTTTTAACTTCTCAAGAACCCGACTTTTATTTTTCTTAATCAGTGAGCAACATAGTATTTTATTGTCATAATATTATTGTATTGTATTTTATTATTTTATAAAATTGCTCAAATTAAATTAAATTCTTCATTTAGACATAAATGGTTTTTAAAGAAATGATACCCGGGAAAAATACACAAAAGCATTTAAATAATCTTAGTAATCAACATTAGTTAAATATATATATATATATATTTATTCCTCATACATTTCATTGAAATAAACATAATAGCAAATCTACATTATATAATACATTAATGTATATGTAACTAAAAAAGTGATAAAAAAAATTTTCGTGTTGGCAGCAAGAAATTGAAATAGCAGCAAGTGGGCAGACATAAACATGAAACACGTAACAACATCTAATAAAAACAACATTTACTAAATTAAATCTAAATAAAACAACATCATTACGTTTCAGGGGTCTGTCCAGACGTTTTGTGAAAGGTCCTGTTTTTGTGAAAAAATTAATCACATTCTTTTAACCAGGGTCCTGCTTTTATGAATTTGTGCAAATGGAGTCCAGTTATTGCAAAAAACTTTTTCAAGGAATTTTTAAATTGTAAATAGATACAAGATTATGTTCAGCACTGTAAAATTATAATTAAAAAATTAAGTTTTCTAAAATAAACAGCAATCGCTGCTTCTACATTAGAGATGCAACATACAAATATTTGGTATTCAGCCTATACTGCTGAAAGCAGAATATTCATTTAGGATGAATAATGGAAGAATCGTCTGCCGAAGACAAAATTTAATTCGTTTACATCCATCTTTCTTGTTTTCTGCCCTGGGAAGGGTTTATTCAATTAACTAAACAATAATGAAGATAAACAAATTTGTGAAGGGTCCGATTAAGAGAAAAATCATCAATCTATTTTTATGAAAAGATATTTTGTGATTTCAAATTTCTTCTAAACAGACCCCTGCGTTTAGACATGCTTTTTCAAATACCATAACTGAAGCTTTAAGGCGTGTTTTTCATAGGTGATATTCTTAAATTTCTAATCACCAAAACTGTAGAAAGAAGCTTCAATCAGGGAAATAGGGTCCTAATCGTTTGGTCAGGAGAGTAGTCCAAAGTTTGGACCCCTTAATGTTAATGAAATTTTTTGAAAATTTCCCAGTAACTCGATAACTTTTTAAGCGAATTGAAAATTCTTAACACGCAATTATAATTTGTTTATCTAAAGATAACACCACGCAAAATATATTTAATTATTATTTATAATTTTTAATGCAAATTTAGAAATTGGTGACTTATTCATTAAAATTTTATGACTTATTTATTCCAAACTTCAGTCGTTAAAAAAAGAATACAAAGTCAAACGAAAAACCAATGAGTGAGCGAAACTAGCTCAAATTTTATGAAATTACTTTACGCATTCATTGAGTTTATTTAATATTCAGTAACTTTTAACATTAATTGAAACATGGTACTTTTGGGACTTAAGAAATGGGAATTATGGGACCTTCAAAACACATACAAAGCTATTCTTAAATATAGTATACATTTATTACATATATTCTAAAACAATAAAACAATGTATTCCTTAAA